AAAAGAAAGAACTTCCTATATTTTTGTAGACTTGTATGTTAAAAATATTATTTGCTAAGACATCATGTCGGTGTTATTACTCACGTATTGTTTGATTGATTAGTAAAGTGCAAGTGAAATCTGTATGTAGGGGTACGAGCTTTCATAACAATGTCATTCCCCCCCGCCTTCATTTTCCTGGGTAAGTACCTTCCAATGTTTCAGTTCTTTTGTAACACCCCGCATTTTCTTTTATATATGTATATAGATATATAATAAATAATTGTGGTATAAAAAAAAATGTGGATATATGTAGTGATGTGTGTTTAAATTTGGTAGATTGAAAAAGTAGAGATTGAAAATAGAACAGTACACGTGAATAGTGCATTGTTGCAACTTCAAGCTCGATTTAGACCTTAATGCAGTTAATATCTCTCAAAACTCAAAACATGAAAGTTTTAGAGTTCTTTCATATCATTCCATAGCAACTTGAATCATCTCAATCGGAGCTTGGATGAGAGAGTTATGCTCAGATAACAAAACGATGTCGAAATAGTTCAATTAACTTCGTTTTGCATTTAATGTCTCCATTTGCATCCTAAATCAAAATATAAGAATAATGAGTACTTTTAGGCTTCAAATAAGTATAAAAGGCTCTAAGAAACACTCTTTATCACCTTTTATTTGCAAACATCGCAAAATTTCATTAATAGCCGATTCAGATGGACAAAATAGAAACTTTAGTGTTTCGGGTGTACGTTGATTTGGGTTTTGAAATAAATCATAAAAATAAATTTTTTTAGGTTAAAATAACATTAAAAATAAATCCGGAACGTCGACAAACCTTAATGTAGTCATATGGATCAAATTGGAGATTTTTAGTGGCAAAATCGTAAATTTGGAGAAACCCAAAACAGCATGTGAACAGTATTTTTCGGGGCTGCTATATTTTAAACTCATTTTCATCTCATTTGCTCTTATTTCCTTCACTCCTCTCACACCCCCATACCTTTTGAAACCCTAGAGAGCATTAGAGAAGAAGAAAGGAAGGGAAAAACAAGAGATTCAAGATCAAATATTCTTGTTCTTCACTCCAAAGCTAAGGATTCAAGGTAGGGATTTTCTCTCATTCACTTACGTTGAGGCTAGGGTATTTATATATGTATGTTTTGGCTATCAATGGTATATATATGTTATGGAATCATCCTTTCTTATACTTTTTGCAAGGATTACNCAGGAGCTTTATCTCATTCACTTACATTGAGGCTAGAGTATTATATATGTATGTTTTGGCTATCAATGGTATATATATGCTATGGAATCATCCCCTCTTAGACTTTTTGCAATGATTACATGTTTTGAACAAAGTAGGGTTTAATACTTATGAAATCTCCTTTCTAGTTTTAAAACACTAATTTTTGGAGAGTGATGTATTTCCTTCTTAAATGTTTTTTTTATTATGGATTTCGAAACCTTAGTGCTTTGTGTTGGGTAGAAAAATGATGTTATTGTGATCTCATGTATTTTCTTAGTTGGTTGTGGAATTGTTATATGATATATTTTGGGGATTTTGGATAGATGCTTGTAAATTGAGATAAATGTTGAAATTGTATGCTTGGTTGGGTTGTTTGTGATGCACATGAGTGAGAGACTCCTTGTAAGAATGCTCATCCCTTTCCAAGAGGTTCCCGGTAAGGATGCTTGAAAAATAATGTAGTGATTGGTGAGAGGTTCCATGTAAGGATGCTCATCCATTCTCAAGAGGTTCCCGGTAAGGATGCTTGAGAATCAAAGGCGACCTAAAGGGGGGTGGAGGTTACCACAAAGTATGCCACCTACCGAAAGAATTGTTGAAAATTGGTTATAACAATTAATACTTATTATTTGTATGTGGTGCTCGTTTATTCATTTAAGTAATGTTTTTAAATAAACTTGAGATCCTTTTTAAATGTCACTGCTTTATTTCAAATTATGTATCTATGTTATGTTAAAATTGAGACCGACCGTTTTAAATGCTTTTCTAAACCTTGTATGGGTTTGGGAGAATTTTTCTACNTTTAAATAAACTTAAAATCTTTTTTATTGTCACTGCTTTATTTCAAATTATATATCTATGTTATGTTAAAATTGAGACCGGCCGTTTTAAATGCTTTTCTAAACCTTGTATGGGTTTGGGAGAATTTTTCTACAGAGCTTCGTGCTCACCCCCTATCGCTAACATTTTTCAGATTACCCGCTTGAGGAGGAGGACGTAAGGGTCGAGGAGNGTGCTCACCCCCTATCGCTAACATTTTTCAGATTACCCGTTTGAGGAAGAGGACATAAGGGTTGAGGAGCCCGCTACTTGAGAGACTCCACTGGACGGGAGTGTGGATCCCAAAGTGGACGCATAGAGTCATCTCCTTTCCTTTTGTACTAGATTAGAACATTCTTTTGGAACATTGTGTAGTCTAACTTCTTTTATTTATTCTGCTGCGCTTCTTTAATTAATTTTTGAGATGTAATAACCATGACTTGGACTTATTCTTTTGAATAATATTGTAAATATTCGTGGATGACAATTGAAGTCTTGTTTCTTATGAGATTATATTAGTGCTCTCATGATATAAATGATTTTAGAATGTAATACCGTTCAGGGTGTGTTTCGGGCGTTACATCTTTCTAACCGGAATGGATCAAAGTGTTGAAGACAATAATATCGTAATAGTTAGTCTATAGTTGACCGGAAGCCTTAAATATCACTTTGCGTTCTGAAATCTGTTCAGCGCTTTTGAATGGAAGATTTTGCAGAGTCTATACAGCTAGGCAGTCATCAAACAACATTATGTCTCCTGTTTTTACCATTCATGTTGTCTTGTAAATTATAATGGAGGAAACTGATAATCATTTTATGATTTTTTTTTGGTCTTGAATTCTTCAACAAGAGTTGAACTTTGCTGCACTTTAAGTATTGAAGAAGTTATGTGGACTAATGTAAAATGGAAACCTGGTTAACATGTAAAGTTGTTTTCTAAGATGGTCTTCCATAAAATGCTGCATTGATAGAATTTAACATTGCCCTTGTACCTCTTGTCCATGTCTTGGGTATCTTCAAGCTCGGATCGAATTTTTCAAGGCCTGCTCAAGGTTAGCTTGAGCTCGAACACCCAGCCCAAATTTTTGTTCAAACTCGGTTTGAGTGTTGCAAGCTGCTGATGCTTTACCTGCAGGATGGTTAAACAGAAAAACAAATTGCTCATATTATATAGGATCATTTTACGGAATAAATAAGAAATGACTCGATGACTTTTCTTATTATAAAGCTGTAGTTCAAAAAATTCTAAATTCTATTTCTACCTGTTTTGAGAATTATGCTTCTCAGTCTTGACAAAATGATAGTTGATACAGGTGTGGGGGTTTCAAACTGCAAGGAGAGACTAAAGCTCTTTTTTTGGTGGAAAAGCCTTTGAAAATGGAGCTGGAGTCGGATCTCTCATCATCTAGTAGTGATGAAGATGAAGCAGACTAGTGGCGGAAGTGACACAGCTGAAAAACAGGCTTGAAAAGCTACTTAATCTTAATGCAGCCCAATCTACACTTCCAGAATGATATCTTCCCTGGGAAACAACCTTGTATGCCTTTTCTAACAATTACGTGTTTTTGAACCTTTGAAAGATTCTCTTTAGTACCTAGATTAACCAGCTATTTTGCTAAGGCTGATGTTTTGGGTTCTTCACAGGATTACCCTTCATGGGTGTGGGACAACATTTTGGAATGTGATTTAGTAGTACAAAATGGCTATAAAGACAGCATCTGTTAGAAAGCTTTCAAGTTTATTATCAATACACACACACACACACACATATGTATATGTATTTGTGATTGAAAGGTCTCGTTAAGAATTACCCTATGGTTCTGGTTCATGACTTCTGTGATCCTACTAAGCTCTTAGGAATATTATATTTCTAATCCATTCAAAGAATCATTACATATGCTAGGTCAAACAAGCAACCAAGTAGTCTGTGAATATCTACCTTTCAAAGGTTGCTTCTTTGTTTCCTCAATTTATTTAATTTTCTCTGATTTTATGCGTTTAATCTAAATTTTCTGTCTCTGCTGCACCTCCATTTGTTTTTGAAGTTGTTACACTAGGCGTTTTATATTGGCATGTAAAGGTCCTCTGAAATCTGAATTGATGGTTTGCAATCTTCACTTACTTTTCATGTGTGCGAATGCCAATTTGGAAAGTGTTTTTGTATGCCTTGAAGGTTATATACATGGTAATTTAGGTCTCCTATAATATACGCATCTTCAATACCTTTCAATATGAGTTACCNACAAAGATTACTTTTCATGTGTGCGAATGCCAATTTGGAAAGTGTTTTTGTATGCCTTGAAGGTTATATACATGGTAATTTAGGTCTCCTATAATATACGCATCTTCAATACCTTTCAATATGAGTTACCCGTTATGAATACAAGTGGATTCTTTTTCAATACATGGTGAGTGATTTACTATTTGGGAATATTACAGAAAAGTGTATTGAGAGAGTTAGAAATCCCAGGTTTATTTGAAACAATTTAATCCACCAATTAGTTTTGGGTGCATGAATTTTGGTATTTCTTTGACATTCATAGATTTACATATCTAACCCCTTTAAAAGAAGTCCTACATTTCAATCAAGCAACCATAAAATTAGTGTGTTTTAAAGGTTGCTGTGGTGATTTTGATTTTAATCAAATTTTTCTGCTCCTACCGCACCTCCATATGTAGTATAATCGTTACAAAAAGTCCTGTATATTGGCATGCAATGTAGACTACAAGCAATTCAAGGCAGATTATTCATTATTTGTCTGATCTGAAAGAAATAGTTCTACTCCCATCCTTGAATATGTAGATGTTGGGGTCTTAGTATAAAATGATATGGAACAAATTTGAGAACTAAAGAGATTCTTAAGTGATCGTTTTAACCAGAAAGAGTGTGGGGTTTAAACTGCCAGGAGAGACCAAAACTCATTTTTTGTGTAAGAAGCTTCGAAAAATGGAACTGGAGTCAAGTCTCCGAAAACTAGGCTTGAAAAACTGCTTAATGGAGTCCAATCCTCACTCTGCTGTTGCTGATGTTTTTGGGTAACTTGAATGGTTTGGGATCTTCACAGGATCACCTTTGATGGGTGTGTGATGTCATTTTGGAATGTGGTTTTGTAGGCCACCAAGACTATAAAGACAGCATCATTAAAAAATCACTCAAGTTTATTGTCATTATATATATTCTATGATTGAAAGATGTCATCACTAATTACTCCCAAGCTACAAAGAACTAAATTTCGTTTCAAATTGGTTAAAACGTTTTCATTTCCATGAAAACGAAAAACAAATAAGTGATTGACTACTGAAATTTCATCTTTTTCTAGGTGTTTTTGATGGGTTTGAGTATGTTTGGTGTCAGAATATACATTCAAAGCAATCTTGTAAATACAGTAGCTCAAACAATCAACAAAGAAATTTCTGTCCAGGTACCTTTTAAAGGCTGCTTCTTTGCTTCTTTAATTTATTTGCTCTGATTATATGATCTTATTCTAAAATTACGTTCCTACTAAACCTCCATATCTTTCTTATTCGTTACAGGAGACTTTGTGTATATTGGCATGTAAAGTTCCTCTGTAATATGAATTGATATGATCAGTATTTGAAATCTTCAAGGGAATAGTACTGCAATTTCAATTTATCTTGTTCTTATTTGGGTTACTTCGTCTTATTTTTCACGCTTAATTTGCATTTTGTTTGTCAACTTACGGTTTATTGAAATTTGCATTGATGTGTTAGGTGAGAAAACACATCGTCTGCATTATTGATATTCTTTAAATTGATTAATTGATTAACTCGAAACAAAATCTACATGATTTTGATAGTTATGAGTTTTGTCACCAATATTGTATGACTACAAATTTATACTTTCAAAATGAATAAGAAGGGGTAAATTTAAATTTTTAATTAACAAATACACTCGAAAAAACATATTAATTGATCCAAGTCCAAACATATTTACCCATGCATGCATGGGTTGTTATGATGAACATCTTATCATAACAACAACAAGACTATATTTTTTTTTCATTGGATAAAGGGGAGGTATATCTCCCTAGTTTTATCCAATTACAAACATACACACCTAAAAATCCACACAAACACCCTTGCACACACACATATTTAGATCATGCATGGTTGCTACATTTCAAGAATGGCCTTGAAATGGCAGAGTCCAGGATCGAATGTACATTGACCTGCGCATTTTACCCAACATTCTGAAGAGCATTCAAAATATGATTTTCCGTAGGGGCATAAGTTTGTAATGCAGTAGTTCATGCAGCTTTCTTCCAACTTTGTAACTTTTCCGACCCGGTCCGGCACCGCGGACACCGTCAACAACATAAACATAAGAAGCAATGCAGTGATTGTGACCTTGCTGCTACTCCGGCGGCAGCTGGTGGCGGTAGTGACCATCATAGCTACCACTCTCTCTCTCTCCGAAGCTATCAGGTAGTAATACTATAGTAGTTCTATGTCAGGCAAATGGTGCAATTGTGTTTATTTATAGTGGGAGAAGAGGGACCTAAGTGTTAATAAGGGTTGGAAGCGGCTACGTTGCGTGATTATTGATACAGTTAATATCAATAATTACACCATGTGAAAGTGTCATGTGGTAGGCCCTCTAAACACGGAATATTTTCGCAGTTTTTCCTCTATGTTGCATGTAGTTAGTCCTTGTACATGCTGCTACAAATGAGTCTAACGGATAGTGGAAAAAAATGATACAATGATAGTTCATCATCGCAAGACAATGATGGCTCATCATTATTTGACCTTTTTTTAATGTTTTTTTTGGGTTAATTATATTGAAGGTCTCTAAAATATGAAATTTATCTTATTTTGGTCTCCAATGTTTTAATTACATCATTTCGGTCTCTGAAATATTGAATATGTTTCTATATGGTCCCTCAAGTAGACAATGTCCAGATTATTAACGATTTTTTATCATAAATTTGTCACGTGATACTTAAATATGGACAAAAAAATAATTTAGATAATTATTGACCAAATTTTTACTCAAATTTTGGTTAAATAACTAACTAAATTACACATTTTTTATCATGAGTTATCTAAATTTTGGTCAAAAGTTATCCTTATTACACATTTTTTTGTCAAGAACTACCCAAATTTTGTTTAAGAGCAATCAAAATTATTTTTTGTTCATATTTAAGTATTATATGACAAGTTTATAATAAAAAAATATTAACAATTTGGACATTATTTGCTTGAAGGACCATATAAAAATATATTCAATACATAAGGTCTCAAAATGATTCAATTGAAACATTAGGGGTCAAAATGAGACAAATTTCATATTTTAGTAACCTTCGGTGCAATTAATCCTAATTTTTTTTCAAAACCCATAAGAAAATTTAGAAAGTTGCACTTCCAACAATCTCTCACAAATGTTTTTAAAAAATAATAAAATTACAGATTTGAAACTTTATAAAATTACGAAAAGTGGGTAATTATATACTATGTATTCAGTGTATGTGTTATTAGGTTTGAACCTACACCTAACGTTGATAGTTTCTATTTAAAAAAGTCATGGTGAACTATTTATTGAATTAGGTCCTTTTAGTCAAATTTTAACATCGTACACGCATAGTATAAATATTAAACGAATTTTTTAGCGAAAATTAGGACTAAATTCCTCTTAGTGATAAGTTTGTTTTTTGAGTAATGATATGTATCCCAAATTTATAATCCAAATTTACATCTCAAATTCAGGAGGATCATTGGATCAGTGGTCCTATTTTAAAAAGTTGATGGAACCCACTTATCCAATGGTCCTCCTTGATTTGAGATACAAATTTGGGTTACAAATTTGAGATACATAGCACTACTCCTATTTTTTCTCTTATTACTAAGTACTTAAATCTACTATTTTTTTAAATCCAAAAAATACTCTGCCTTAAAGGGAGGTTAAAGATACATAGCACTACTCCTATTGTTATCCCTTTATTCAATGTCAATTAATAAATGTCAATAAAATTTACATCATAAATTTAAAATTCAATCTCTCTCTCTCTCTAGTGGCGTTGTTTCATCAATGTTCATCTTTTAATTTTCTAGGAGTTATGCCCATTTTATTGGTAATGGATGAGAATCTCTGGTCTTTATTATTAATTTTTTGCTTTTTGTAATTTGTAGTATTTTTCGTGGGAGTTGATTTGTTAAATTGAATGTTTCATTATACTATTTTTTTTACTATGTTAATATTCATGTGTTCTATTTTTGTTGAGTATATTACTGTTCATGTTACTATTATTTTGATCATGTTACTATTTTTGTTAAACTTGTTACTACTATTATTTTTCTTAAATATTAATATTCAATATTACTATTTTTTTTTGAATATTATTATTTTTTGTGTTTGGATAGTATTATTTTTTGCGTTTGAATTTGAGAGAAATAATTATATTTAGTATGTTACTGTTTTTGTTAAGCATGTTACTATTTTTGTTGAATATATTACTATTGTTATTTTTTTAAAATATTAATATTAAATGTTACTATTTTTTTATGTTTAAATGTTACTATTTTTTGTGTTTAAATGATATTATTTTTTGTCTGTTATTAATCAATCTATCTATACTATTTCTAAATGCAAATAAAAGTGAAAATTTTTTGTTTGACCAAACTAACTTTAACAAAAATAATTAATGTCTATTATATTTTTTTGGAGTTAATAGCATTATTAAATTATAAGTAGATTATTTTTCCTTTTTACCCTTGGCCAAATATACAAATACTACAATGTCCCCCAACACTATCCGTTTTGAACTAAAAAGTCAGCTAGAGTACTATTACTCAGAATCCTTCGATGGGGATGATATGGTTCGACTCACTGCTATGCCCTTTGATTTGCATTGTGTAATAACTGATTTGTTGTGAAGTGTCCCATATTCTCACTCTCACATATACAACTAATAAAAATATGGTCACGCAATATGGATTTTAGTAATAATTACTCCATCCGTTCGTAAATATCTGTCGTTTTACATAATTTTTTTTGTTCCATAATATCGTCGTTTAATAAAGCCAAAATATAATTAATATTTTTTCTTTCAAATTTATCCTTAACTTTTCAATGCATTGGATAAGTAGAGACTAAGTGCCTTTCATATTCCTTTATTTTTCAATACGTATTGAATAAAGATATTTTAATCTTGTGCAATTATTTTGTATTCATATCAGAGCTATTTAATAGTTTCCTTAATTCTTGTGTAAAACGACAGATATTTTGAAACGGAAGGAGTATACAATATACAATCAATAATTGGAATTGAATGCTTCTATATTTCATATTCTCGACTCTCTCTCTCTTAATAGCTGATGGTTCTCAATTCAAATATGTATTTTTCTATCTTTGCTAGCTCTCACGTGGTGTGTCCCTGAAACCAGTGGACTGCTTCAACCAATATAAACTCTCTCTCCCTCTCCATTACACAAATAACCCCTGTGATTGGCACGCTTATTGTAGGTTTTTTATATTATTTTTTTAATAGGAATCTATTGATACTCGAAAATATGACTACTACATAAATGAATAGATTAAGGTATTAGAAAGTGTCTATACGGAATGTATGTACGTAAAAAGCCCAGTTCTTTGTTGCCGTAACAAGGACTCGAGCAGGTCAATTCTAAAATCAAAATCTCAGGTAAAAGGAATTANTAACAAGGACTCGAGCAGGTCAATTCTAAAATCAAAATCTCAGGTAAAAGGAATTATGGTTTCATTCATTTCGGTTATTCTTTGTTTTAATTGCTGTGCTAAGTTTATCTTCTTGCATGTAAAGAATTGCCTTCGTAAAGCTTGGTTGGTGCCAAAGTGTCAGATGCAATGTTTTGATGGAAACAAAAAAAATTTGTTTAAATATGAACTAAAAAATATTGTTGTCGTTTGAGAAAGCATGGAAGATTGTCATGCAGATGTGCTCTAAAAGCTAGGAGGAGGAGGTTGGAAATCAAATGATTGGGTATCCTACATTATTTAACCACAGAAACTAGTATAAAACTATGGTGTACTCTTCCTAGAAAAGCGTGGGAATGTGATGTTATACTAAGTATCATTAGCCGGTAAAGATTTAACGCTTATAATAGTAGTGGAAATTATTGTTATTGTAATCGTTATTGGAGTTATGCAAAGTAGCTTAGTATGTTGAGTTGCTTTTTTTTTTTTTCTTCTCTTTTAATTTTATGTGCCATAAATTTTTTGATTCCGATGACAAATGAGATAAAATCAATGTCGTGTCTCCGTGTGAGAGGGTTTTATTTTGGGATTTTAGGGTTTGGCTATTTGATGGTGCGCTTCACAACGGCAGAATCGACCTAGGCTTCGTTCTCTCCTCCTACAGAGCTCTGTTCTTGGAATAAGAATTATTCTTTGGAATCATCTCTCTCTCTCTCTGTAAATTTCCTCTTCTCTCTTTAAATTTGCTCCTCTCTCCGGTTAGATTCTCTTTTATGTATAAATTAGTTCAACAACTTCTTGGCTTCTCCGTTGCCAGAGACGATGGTGAGTACCGTCATCAAGATCGATGGTCAAGAACCAAACGACCTTCTTGACGATCTATCGGCCCAAGAACAAGTGGGTTTTTCATGTGATTCGCCTTTAATTTCTATAATTTTTGTCGATTCTTAAACTTCTTTGACCAGATCTTGATTGGTTTCCGAGAAAATTAACTGAGAATTCTTATCTTGTCCAATTTCTGTTGTTGCATTCTCTCCTAGAGCGCTCTTTTATTTGAATACGAAATATTCTTTGGAATCGATATTTCTCTCTGTAGATTTTCTATTCTCTCTCCGATTAAATTATCTTTACGTATATTACTTCGACAACCTCTGAGCTTCTCTTTTCTTCTTCGGTGCCATAGACGATGAGTACCGTCATCAAGATCGATGGTGAAGAACCAACCGACCTTCTTCACGGTCTATCGGCCCAAGAACAGGTGAGTTTCGTCTGATTTTGTCCATTTTTGAACTTGTTGGACCAGATATTGATTGGTTTCCGAGAAAATTAACGGAGAATTCTCATGTTGTCCAATTTCTGTTGTTTCAATTCACTGAGGTACCATTATTGTTTATATCTGCTGCTGCATTTTCTCCTGGAAGGCTCTTTTCTTCTTTGGAAACGATATTTCTCTCTTTAGATTTTCTATTCTCTCTCCGATTAATTCTCTTTATGTAGATTACTTTCGACAACTTCTTAGCTTCTCTTTTCTTCTCCGGTGCCGTAGACAATGAATACCATCGCCAAGATCGATGGTCAACAACCAACCTACCTTCTTGACAATCTATCTGGCCAAGAGCAAGTGGGTTTCTTTTGATTCCGCTTTAATTTCAATATTTTGTGCATTCTTCAACTTCTTGGACTAGATCTTGCTTGGTTGCCGAGAAATTTGACCAAAAATTACGCAAATATCTTAATATTATCCAATCATTATTATTTATTTCTGTTGTTTCAATTCACCGAGGGATCATTGGCAGAATGTAAAGTATTGGTGGTGAGGTTATTTGTTGGTTCTAATCTAAGGCGTCATTCTGTGAATATGATGTCAAAATAATAACTGAATCAAACTGCTATTGATGAATTTTTGTTTTCAATTCATAAACCTGATAGGTTTGTGAGTCAAGTACTTGTATTGGGTTCAATCTAATGGATTACTTTATCCTTTTTTGGAGTTTTCTCATACTTCTTGAACATGTTCTTCAAATTTCTTGGCAACCAAATGGAGTATTAAGTCATATATTTTGTTTATTTTTATTTTTTGTTTCATAGCACTTTGGTCAATCCTTTTTCTTTTGCCAAGAAAATCAATAGTGCAAGAAAATGTTGATTCTTCACTTTTGTTTAACACAATTGGTTGTATTTAAATAAAATCTAGCAATTATGTGCATTAGGTTTTGTGTGGTTCTTTGTTTTCTCAGGTCTTGATTACTGTAAATATTTTGGATTTTGGAGGCTTTTTGGCAACTGGGAAGTGGGTCTTGTTTGTTTTGTTTAATTGTATTTGTAACTGAGTTGATATAATTGACTTGGGTTTGTGTTTTTTGGAGTGAATTGCAGATTGCAGTGGAGCTTCCTCAAGTGGACTTTGAGGATGGTCATCATGGGTTTTGTGCCATCTGTTTGTGTAAGATAGTTCTTCAAGAAACTGCCCTTGTAAAAGGTTGCGAGCATGCCTACTGGTTTGTCTAACTCCCTGGTTATCTACTATTTCTTGGACTATAATTATATGTATACTTATTTAGCTTGATTGGGGATACCTGGCCTCATACTGTTACTTGGTTGTGGACACATTGGTCAGGCTTATATCTCATGATACCGCAAAATTTATAAGCCGTTTTCTTTCACTCATACAATAATCTGGTTTAGTTCATCAGCTTGAATGATATTAGAAGTTCAACAAGATGCTAAGGAAATTTTTTGGGTTCTTTTCTAGTTAGTTTGAGGTTTTCTGATTAGTTAGTATGGTAAAAATACAAGGAAGACAAAATTTTGTATGTACTTGAAAGTGTGTTAAGTCTAAACTAAATAACCAACTTTGAAGTGTTTGGTGTTGAAAATAATGTTGCAGTACTAGTCACAGAATGCAATGTTTTTTTGTGTTGTAATATTACTACCGGGTGAACTGTGAAGTGTCATTGTATCTTTGTAATGATATTTGTAGCGAAACCTAGGTCTTTTTAGTTGATATGCTTCAAATATGTTCAAGTTGTCACATTGTGTGAATACAGTTAACTGTTGGATTTTTTTGCCAAAATTGATTGTTTTAAAATTCAAAGTTGCATTGGGTGTGCTCTTTCCAGTACCCAACACAATTATAGTGGCCTTACGGGGTCTAAGTTAATGGTTTATAGTATTGTTCAAATCCTGTCATTGAAATTGACTTCGAATTACAGGATTTGATGTCAAGTTCATCTATTTGTTGGAGTTGTTTAGCAATCTATAGAATAGTTTCAGGTTTCACTTCATTTTCTTGTCTAGCTTGCTAGAAAATTAATGCGAGTTGGCCTAGCCCCATAATCCAATCCTTATTATTCTATTTATGCTTGAAAAATCTGACCATTTATTGCTAGTTTGGGCTATCATTGGTGTTGGAATTGTACTAACAGAGCAAAATTGTGTTTAGGGATGGGGGTTGGTCGAGGGGGGGAGTGGGGGAAGTAGTGTTGAGAGTGTGCTTGCTGTATGGTAGATGATATTTTTCCCATTGTTGAACAAAACAATTCAGAACTTAATTGATAATGAGTGGAGGGTTTTTTT